AACAGAGGGAAAACAAAAGCTAGGCTGCTGGCTCGTCTGGAGAGCAGGCAGCTGTGGGGGCACAGGGGTGGTCAGCATTCGGCTGGCACAGGAGGAGGCGGGTGGAGACTAAAAGGTGCAGCCTTCGGGGTTCAGCGGGAACCAGAAAGCATGCCTTGTCAGAGAGTGACTGCAGTGCAGAGGTCGTCCATCCCCGCCCAGGACGGTGTGCCCTCCATGGGACCTCTGCTGTCTTTGGGCCAGTCTATTCTCATTTTGCAGTTTCTCGCCTCCACTACTGTCCCCATCAGGCATGGCTGGGGCACCTCTGGGAGCCAGGCTGTGAGAGGATGCAGGGGCTCCAGGAGATAGACCCGCCAGCCATGCTCTCTGGGAGCTCCTAACAGAAGGGCTGGGGGGAGGCAGGAGTCTCTGTGGTCTGCAATCAAGGACCCATGTGGTGGGAATTAAGAGGCGGAAGATGCAGAGGCTTTCACAGGGCCCAGGGCCAGGTCCAGTTGGCAGTGATGGCTGCAGATGGGGCAAAAAGGTGTGTGGGGGGCCACCTGCGATGTCCATGGGCAGGGAAAATACCCACCAAGCACAGCAGTGTCCCTATGCATGAAGAACAAATGCTTTATCTTCCTGAGATCACATGCTCCCTGTTCTTCTAGGCCCGTCCTAGGCATCACCTCTGGCTGAACCCTGCCATCCTAACCTTTGGCTCCTGGCTTCCAGACTTTCTGGGAAGAGAAGGGAAAGGACTCCTGACGAAGAGGATCTGAGGTAGTCTTGGTCCAGACTGCCTCTGCCCTATGACCTGGAGCTGTTTCTATGTCCCAAGTCAGACCTGAAAGGGACAGGAGGAGCTGCCTCTCTGGCCAGCACAGGCACGAGCCTTTCCCAGGAGGAAAACGGTGTCTTTGAACTAAACAGAGGGAGTGCATAGGCAGAGGGAGCCCAAGTGGTTATGGGGTGACAAGAGCTAGGAAGGGACAGTGTGGGGCCGAAGAAATAGTTTTGTTGATGTCTTTGAGGCCCTGCCTAGGGAGATTTCATATTTGCAACAGATCAGTGGTGGGACACCTGGTGGGACTGGCTGAAATCTAGAGCTGCCTCAGAGGTGAGGTTCCTGACACCAAAGAACAGACAATACCATTGTGGTGCAGCCTCTGTCCCTCCTCTCTAGACCCACAGAATGACAGCAGCAGGCAGGGTCTTAGGGGTGGCGGGGCTCTGCTGGAAGGATTCCCATGTCCTCCACCTTGGTTGTGGCTGCTGAGGTCATTAGGAGTACATCCCCGTGGGGTGTGGACATTCTGGGAGTTGGCATCTGGGAGGCTTTGACTCAGAGCCTGGGCTGAAGGGCTACCACGCAGGGCAGGAGCAGGCCTCTCCAGCACCCCACGTGGCGCGGCGGCGGGGGTGGTGTCACAGGACCCCGAGCTCTCCCCAGCATCAAGGAGGGAGGAGACGGGGCTTTGCCAGGGCAGAAGCTCAGCTGTGATGAAGGAAAGACTTGGGTTCCAGAAGGAGAAATCATGTCTGATGGGAGGACTTGAGGGCAGCGTGTCTGGGTCCTTGCTGTGGGGACAAGAGGGACACGACAGGGCCCAGTCTCAGGAAGTGGCGTGGCCCTGGAAGGGAGTCTGGGAATTCTACATCAA